AAAAAAAAAAAAAAAAAAAAAAAAGTCAGGCAAGCTCGGCACAAAACAGACCACGAACCAAAAGGACACTGGTTCGCGGCACGAGCTGAAAGAAAAACAAGGAGGCAGAGGGTGGCTGGTGGAAAGCCCGCGCACGTGCCCCTCACCCTGCGCGCTCGGGCGGCCGCAAGCCCCGCGAGTGTTGATGGGGCTCGCACCCACTGTCAGCTAGTGGGCGGGCTCCAGAGCCCATGAGTCACGAAGATCCACTGTATGAGAGCTCCACTTTCTTTTTTTTTTTCCCAATTAAGCTGGACATGAAAACAATTTGAAAAAGTATAAAAGCAACGCCCCTTTCCTCATTAATTGTTTTTATTTTCTCATTTTGGAAAATATAGTTATTTTTCATAAAAGGAGGTTATTTAATGTTAACAGGTAGTGGGGGTCCTTCTTGTTATGTTAAAATGAATCAATATTTAAAACCTTTTTCAGTGTCAATTTTCCTTTCCCTCCCTTCCTTCCTTCCTTCCTTCCTTCCTTCCTTCCTTCCTTCCTTCCTTCCTTCCTTCCTTCCTTCCTTCCTTCCTTCCTTCCTTTTTATCAGACAGAGTCTTGCTCTGTCACCCAGGCTAGAGTGCCGTGGCGTCAGCCTCGCTCACAGCAACCTCAAACTCCTGGGCTCAAGCGATCCTCCCGCCTCAGCCTCCAAGGTAGCTGGGACTACAGGCATGCGCCACCATGCCCGGCTAATTTTTTCTATATGTATTAGTTGGCCAATTAATTTCTTTCTATTTATAGTAGAGTCGGGGTCTCGCTCTAGCTCAGGCTGGTTTCGAACTCCTGACCTCCAGCAGAGCAATCCGCCCGCCTTGGCCTCCCAGAGTGCTAGGATTACAGGCGTGAGCCACCTCGCCCAGCCCTCCCTGATTTTTTTAAGAGAGCAAAGGGGGCCGGGTGCGGGTGGCTCACGCCTGTACTCCCAGCACTTTGGGAGGCCGAGGTGGGAGGATCACGTGAGCCGGGGATTGGAGGCTGCAGTGAGCTATATGATGAGGCCACTGTACTCCGGCCTGGGTGACAGAGCCAGACCCTGTCTCAAAACAAAAACCAAAACAAAGAAAGAAAGAGCTCCAAGGCCCAGTGGTCTGAGGACTGCTGCTATTTTATCTCAGGCTGTGGTCTGCCCGCTGAAGCTGCAGCTGCCGGCCCAGCCTGCCGCTCGGAGGGTGCATAGTAAATATTTGTGTCGTGGGCAAGCACACGTGCTGGGAGCTCAGGGGCAGCGGCAGACTCAGAGAAGGGTGCGGAAGCATCCACACACAGCCAGTGGCTGAAGCAGAGGGAGCGAGCAGAGGTTGCAATCAGGGTTTGCCAAGAGTGGGCCCAGGGACCCG